CCTCCTCCTCTTCCTCCTCCTCCTCCTTCTTCCTCTCTCTCTCTCTCTCTCTCTCTCTCTCTCTCTCTCTCTCTCTCTCTCTCTCTCTGTGCATGTGTGCAGTATCTTCACTGCATCTATATGCTAAGATTTTTTTGTGACATAAATTTGACCGCCATAGAAGATTCTTGTGGTGGTGACCAATATTCCTAGCTTTGGAGTGACTTCACAGTTGGCTTGTGCCTGTCACCACCTGGCCTTACTTGAATGAAGCATGGTACTTGCTTTTGGTCAACTTAACACAAACCTAGACATACTTTGGAAGAAGGAATCGTAATTGAAAAAATGCTCCCTCAGATTGGTTTGTAAGAAAGTCTATAATGGTATTTTCTTGATTAATGATTGATATGCCAGGGCCTAGTCCACTGTGGGTAATGCTATTCTTTAGCAAGTGTCCTAAATTTTATATATAAAATTCCATATACACACACACACACACACACACACACACACACACACACATTTAGAGCAATTCGAGCAATTCTTGGGGAACAGTCTGATAAGCGTCATTCTTTCATTCTCTCTGCTTCAGCTTCTGCCTCTGGGTTTCTGCCTTGAGTTACTGCCCTGGTTTTCCTTCATGATGGACTATAAGCTGTAACCTGGAAATAAACCCTTTCCTCCCCAGTTGCTTTTAGTCATGATATTTATCAGGATAGTAGGAAGCAAGTACATTCGTTTCAGGCAGAAGTGCTATGTGGTCATCCCATTTTTCCAGAAGTAAAATAATTACCAGTGACAAAAAATGTCAATTTTAATACAGTCAAAGTTGCTGTGTCTGCACATAACCAAACATTGGCACATCTGGCCACATTTTTCATGAAGGATGCGTAAGAAACTTTATCTTGCTTCCTCAGGTACAGATCTGCAAAGAATTGATAATGTCTTTGTTTTGAGGCACATAGGCTTAACTGCCAGTCTTTCACAGGCTTAAATAGGCTTTAGCAAAGTAGCAGAAAACAAAACCACTTAGTTCCCTATTTATGTCTGATTTCCACATAAGCCATTGCACTGGACAGCCCAGTGGATTATCAGCTTAGCCACAGGCGATGACTGACAGGATTTTTTTAATAATATGGGAATGACTACCCTGCAGGATTTTGAGGACTTGAAGAATATATTAAGCGAGACTGAGATAACTTATAAGTATAATTGTCCTAAAGTTTCCAGATTTTAGGGGAATAAGTTTGACAAAGAAGTAACAAATATTTCACAGTTGTTTTCCTGCAAGGGAAAAATTTTGACTTTAGACACTAGAATCATTACCTACTTCTGAAAATCAACCATCTTAGCCTACTTTCAATGTCTCTCTTTTCAGCTCCCTGCGGGTATAATGTGACATCACAGAATGGTACCATTTATTCCCCTGGGTTTCCAGATGAATACCCAATTCTGAAGGACTGCCTGTGGCTGGTCACTGTCCCTCCAGGGCATGGAGTGTACATCAACTTCACCTTGCTGCAGACCGAGGCTGTAAATGACTACATCGCTGTGTGGTATGACTCCTCTCTCCCAGTGAATCACAGCCCCTGCTGGTGGCCTGATGTTCTAGCTTAGCATTTGCTTCTGATCTGTAAGGTTACATGTTTACCAACGATCTGTCTGGGCAGATCTTGAAAAACTAATTCATTAACAAAATCAAACAATATGGAGGACGTTTCAAGGCGTATGTCTAGTTTGCCATTAGATAGATTGTTTGAATACATCGGGGAAAGTCATGATTGCTATGTTTTGTATTTTGGTTTACTTAAATTATTGATGATTTTGAAAAAATGTAAGGTCTTACTCTGTAACCCATGCTAGCCTTGAACTTGTGATGTTCTTTTTGCCTTGGCTTCTTGAGTGCTGGAACTGCTCTTGGGTGTCATTACCTCTGGCATATTCCACAGTTTTAAGAGATGTGTGTGCATGTGTGGGAGTGCAATGTGAGTATGTGATGTGTGTATAAAGGCAATATGTATGCATATGTACACATACACAAACATACGTATGGATGTGTATATATTTAGAGAAAAGCTATGATGTGCTTTTCCTTTAATGAATGCATGAAAGAACACTACAGAAGCATTTCCTCAGGGCATCCTCCCACCCTGTGGTATACAGGCCTGGTTTCCAATGAGTCTTGCAGAGGAATCTGGGCCAGGATGTGATGAATATGAATCTGCTAGATGGAACTTGTAGAAATGGCCTGTCCCACATTAGATATCTCAGGTGCAATTTAAAGGGGAAGATGGCATGAGTACTCTCCCTCGTAATAAGATGGGAGAGCCAGGTGGTGCCCCTGGGGTACTAGAAGGGTAGCACTGTTGAATTTACAGGTAAACTGTATGTGTACATTTGTGATGTATGATACATGAAGCGTACGTATTTGTAGGTATATGTCTCTACATGTGTGGCTTATCTATGATTGTATACACGTGTGTGTTATATTCCATGCTTGTGTGTCTGTTTATAAATGAATACTTATTGTATGCATGTATCTATACATCTCTTCTTGTGTTTGTAAATGAACGCATGATTGTCATATATGTGTGCTGTATGTATCTGTATGTGAATGTAGGAATGTTTTGTGTTTATATCTATATTGTGTCTGTTTGGGAATGTGTGCATCTGTCTATTGAGTGTCTAAATGTGCCTTCCTTTGTATAATATATATGCACATGGAGGGTGCATCATGTGCCTGTATTCTTATTACAGCTCAAGGAGCAAAGGAGAGTAGTCTGGGCCAGAGGAACAGATATTGCAGGGCCTAAATATTTTATCTAAAATGCAGGAGGAGCCATATACAGGAGAGTCACTGTAGATGATGCTCCTGCAGGGCCCAGGGGAAGCTGCCTCCCCAGGTTTCAATGAGGTCTTGGAGGGTGGTTCTGAGAAGCTGAGTTAGTGGCTGTGGAGATGAGGCACCAAGGGTTCCTGTTCCAAAGCAAAGCAGTGAAGTAGCAGACCCACCGAGCAATAGATCCATGTAGATTCTGTTGCCTAGAATCCAGTCTTAGCAAGTCTTGTATGTCTACTACCCACAGTCAGAAAGCGGAGAGATGCTGCAGGGTAGTGAACGTCCTAAACACCAAGCATCCTATTGCTAAAGTCAGTGCCAGGGCAATACCATATTTCAATTTTAGCATTTTAATTCAACTGTAAAACTTGTTATGAATATCATTCATAAGGAAGTGGATACCACATGTACTTTAAGATGTAGTTGTTGGGCTCCTGACAGTACAGAAGTGTCTCTGAGTAGGCCAGTGTTCACTGGTTTTTCTGACCAGCCCTGAGCTCTTTCTGCATACTTGGCCCTGTTGGGGGAACTGGCTGCACAGCCCCAGCTATATCACTGAACTTCTTTCTCTGCTGGCCCTATCTCTTTCCCAGGGATGGTCCTGACCAGAACTCGCCTCAGCTCGGGGTCTTCAGTGGAAACACTGCCCTTGAGACAGCATACAGCTCCACCAACCAGGTCCTGCTCAAATTCCACAGCGATTTCTCCAATGGAGGCTTCTTTGTCCTCAATTTTCATGGTCAGTTTGTTTCCACTTCATTGTCTATGACATAGAGACCCAAGAAAGCTCCCTACCCACGTGCACATACTTTATCTCCAGATGTTGGACTATCCCACGTGGATGCCAGAGTGCCTTGGAAATCTTTTTTTTTTGTTGTTTTGGTGTGCATTCTCTCTGACATCAGTTCATTTTATCGTGTTGGTAGATACCTGGAGTTCATTCCTACATAGATAGAAGAGACCCTGTTGTAGACACCATCATGATGCACATGACTCATGTGCAGGTGTGTGTGCCTGGCTCTAAGGAAATGTCATAGTAACCATCATATAATGACCTCATGATGTCCTTGATAGCAGAAGGGCAAGGTCACCAGCCCCTTGTCACCTATGTCTCCAAACTGTTACTCAGGAAAAGACAGAAATGAGCTTATCTAAGCTAACCAGGCTCTGGTGGGATGATTTCAGTGGTGTCTTCCAAAGGAGGAAGGATAGGTGTCATAATAATTGCATGCTTTCATCCCTTGGGCTTCAGGTATTGTCAGACGTTTAATAGCCAAAGTGAGTCACTGGAAAGAATGATTTACACATGTACATGGCCTTGTAATTTAATCATTCAGAAAAGGTAACCACAGCTGTTATCATTTTTCATAAACCTCTACAGCATTTCAGCTGAAGAGGTGCCCGCCTCCCCCAGCAGTGCCGCAGGCTGACCTGCTTACAGAAGACGAGGACTTTGAAATAGGTAACGCATCTCTGTTTTCTTCATTCCACATTATTGGCTCTGGGTTCTTATAGCTTCTTCTGATACAGACTTTAGGGAAACTGTAACTATAAGCAGAAACTGTCCCAAAACATTGTAGGACCTTTTATAGAGACTCTGGAGCAAACTACTTACTTTCTTAGTTTATGTTTTGCTCTTGGCATTTTAAGACATTTGCTCTGTGGCATTATTACTGTTTCTAAGATTTCAGAGTCTGATTTAGAATGTACTTTGCTATAAATAATGACCTTCAAATGAAAAGTCATTGTAGGATGTACTTAACAATAATATTTAGGAATGTTCCCACTGCTTTGTTATTAGCCATGATTTCATTCATTAGTCATCTGGCTCTCCTCGGGTCCTGTTAGGGAAACAGCCACTGCATATGTTGTCAGTGTAATTATGAGAACTCCATCATTTCTTAGTGTCTATCACAAAATTGTATTCTTATGGTCATCTGTGTTGCAGAATACTGGTCAAATCACATGGTCCAGTCCCTGCTATACTGAGGGTGACTAAGCTAATTGGTACAAAGTGTTTCCCTGACCAGGATCATGGGCAAGCCATGTTGGGTTTACTGAAACCATTCCTTCATTCCACTCTATAGCCTGGCTTAGATACCAGACATCTATGAAATTTCCATTTATTTACCAAGACAGTTGAAAAGTGGGACAGAGGTTTAAGTTGGTCAAGGGATAGCTACACAAGGGATAGTCTTCTTTTAGGTTTTATAAACTAAGAGCTGAAAAGAGATTTTTAGAGATATACAAAAAGTGAATGCAGACCCTCTGAAATGGTTTGTTTGTTGGCATAGTTCATTTAGTAGTCACAAATTACTGACACAGTCACCGTAGTCAAATGTTCTGAGATTGTCGATCCCAGGGTATCGGGTTGATTCTTTCAGGGGACTTCGTAAAGTACCAGTGCCATCCAGGGTACACACTGTTGGGAAGCGACACTCTGACATGCAAGCTCAGCTCACAGCTACTGTTCCAAGGTTCTCCACCCACCTGTGAAGGTATGTTGGGCCTCGGTGATTTGGTTGCTCTAATAGTGTGTAGCCATGTGTTAGAATTTGACTCAGGTCTGGGCTGAGTTAGTTCCACAATGCAGACAAGCTGCCAACAGAGGTATCAGAAGACCCTTTTACCTTTATCCCATCCTCAAAAATAAACCTAAATCACATGGAAATGTTCATCTGCAGCAAAACTGAAATATTAAAGAACAGCTGATATCCATCACTGATATAACAGCCCTTTCCTACCTCTCTCCAATCTGCCTCATGTTTTTGGGTCCATCTCAAGCAAACTGATCATCTTGAGATTTTTTGTTTTGTTTTGGTTTGGTTTTTGGTTTCTGTTTTTTGTTTGTTTGTTTGTTTGTTTTTTCGAGACAGAGTTTCTCTTTATAGCCTGGGCTGTCTTGGAACTCACTCTGTAGACCAGGCTGGCCTCAAACTCAAAAATCCACCTGCCTCTGCCTCCCAAATACTGGGATTAAAGGCATGCACCACCACCGCCCGGCTACATCTTGAGATTTTTTGGTCAATAATTCACCTGGATTTAAGCATCTGGTATTTAACACTTTGGGTCTAGAAATGTAAAAACAATGAAATATAGGTACTTTTGGTTTTGTATATGCTTCTAACATAAACTGACCACATATCAGGACTTAGAGCATTTTTAAAGAATATGGTTCTAGGCTGGACCTGGTAGTTCAGAGACTAGAATACAATTAGATCACTCAAGAAATGTGATTTAGTAGGGACCATTTGCAAACGGAGTGGGAAAGAAACAGACATGTTTGGTACAAGGAGGTCAGATACCCCATATTGTTCACTGCCAATGTTTTCAACTTACTTTAAAAGTAAAAACACTTTGGGGAGCTCCGTGTCACCCTCAGAGCAAGACACCATCTCCACTATTCTAGAAAATAGGCTGCAGTGAGGACTGAATGACCATTATTCACAGTGCCCTATATCATTTGGAAAAATGAATCTTAGAATTCCTAAGCACGGGGAGCTCACCCCATTGGAAAGCTACTGCATTGGAGTGTAGCTACCTCAGGCAGAGTGAGCTTTCAAGACTACTGGATGGACCTATGACTCATCATCGTCTTCTATGGGCTCATGTGCCAAGCTGTGGCACAGTGAGGAGACCTGAGAAATCTTCTTAGGTAAACTGAGTGTCTGTATTGGCATAGTGGTAATGGTCTTGAGATTCTCTTCTCAACATGAGATAATACATACAGTTGAACTTTTGCCACTTTATACTCCCAGGCAAACCTTGACATTGTAAAGGTATATTTTAATCTCAAAGTGTGTCAGGATGGAAAGCTTAAAAGAAGCCTAGAAATAAGAATGAGGAACAATCCTTCATTACGTTGTCCTGTCCAGGTTTACTCCATTTCTACTGAAATGAACTTTAACTCATGTCCATCCAGAAAACAGAGTAAACCCCCATAACTGTAGGCCCATCGTCTCGGTTCCTTGTACATAACATGTACCTGTGCATGCAGCCTTCCACAGACTCAACTTTGACTCTCTCTGAGGTTGGAAGCCCGTGACTTCCCAACTCTGTAACTACTGTTCCCAACAGCCCTGGGTCCATTTTCCTCCTGAAGCAAATTCTTGAAAGGGAGATGAGCTGAGAACAAACTTAGTTGTGTTTCTCTGAGCGACTCATTATTTTGAAAGACCTCAGACGCCTGTCTTATGCCTGACCCTAGTCACTTAAGCACTTAATTATAATCTTTCTCTATTTTCTAATTATTTTGTAGGGCTCAAGTAGGGGTCAGTCCCGCAATACATTCTTGATGGAAATTTGTGTTTACACTGAATCTTACTTCCTTGGCTATTTATACACACTCTTACCAGCTCTCTGAAAGCTGACAAGAGTTTTGGGGGAGGGAAAAGGGAAGTATTTCGGACCGTGCTTTGGAGGGTCCCAGTGTGTGCCGAGACCATGCTACCATGTTAGATGCTACCTTAATTCAGAGAAAACTCAGCAAGAGATAACAACAAATAATATTTCTTATGTTCAGTAAAACAAAAAAGAGAACAATGAATAAAGCTCCAGCTGCAGAAAATGGCACATGGCACCCAAGAAGGAGGAGCATGCTGCCCTTTGGGTCCTTTATAGAAGAAATGCTAAGAAAGCTGGCTCTCTCAGAGCATGGCTGTTAAGAGGTGTTGAATGACAAGTGACTTCATCCTGTAGACCACTAGGAAGGACTGTCTTCAGAACATGCATTAAAAATAGACTTGGCTCAGCAAGATAGCTCAATGTGTAAGGGTGCTCGTCACCAAGCCTGGCCACCTGAGTTTGTTCCCCCAGGTTTCACGTGGTGAACGAACCAAATCCCGGTCTTTGTCTTCTGACCTCCACATGGGTGCTGTGACATGTCTTTCACTCTCCTTCTTTCCTTCCCTCCCTCTCTCTTTCTCTCTAACACACACAAATAAAAACATTTTTAAAATTTCAAAGCATATATCTGGGTAGGTAGACCTTTAATCCTAGCACCCAGGAGGCAGCAGCTGGCAGATCTATGTGGGTGTGGGCCGGCCTTGTCTACATAAAGAAATCTGTCTCAAAAGCAAAACAAACAAACAAACAAACAAAAAACAAAAAAAACAAAAATAAAAAATAAGGAAAAGAACCATAACTGGTTAGTGTTTGCTAAAGGGAATACAAGTCTATTTGGTGATGACCTTGCTCTGTAGGGAGCAGGAGGGCATAAAAGAGGGGAGCAATTCAACATTCTTCCCACATGCCCACCTCCAGCCCTCTACAGGCTTCAGGTACCAGAGCCTCCCATTTTCTTAGGCTCCTAGTTTTCACAGTTATCTCATGCTATAAGTGTTTTATGGCTTAATATTATTGTAACAGAATCTCACAATGTAGTCCTGGTTGCCTAAAACTCATTATTTAGACCAGGCTAGCCTTGAGTCCACTAAGATCTTCCTGCCTCAGCCTACAGAACACTGGGATTAGAAATGTATACTCCCATGCCTGGCAGGAGATAATATTTTTTATTTATGGTTTTAATTTTGCTTTTCTAAGGGTCTCTTTATGTCACTCTGGCTATCTTGGAACTCCTAAATAGACCATGCTGGTTCTGTCTGCCTCTGTCTCCAGAGTGCTGGCATTAAAGATGTGCACCTCCACACCCAACTAAGGAGTTAATTTTAATGATTGGGAAGCCTAGTTCAAGTTCCTAAGCCTACGTTATTTTGGCTGAAAACCTGCAAGATGTGTTAAACAAAGTACTGCGTGTTTGTGAGCCTCAAGCTGATTTTTCTCTTTTAAAAAATAATAACTAAATGTGCCATGTGTCTGCTAAAAGGAGCTAGCTCTAGTTGCCAGAAAACTCCTTTACAAGGTATCTCTGATGGTCCTTCTCTGTAGACGTTTCCTCAAATGTCTCTTGAGGTGCACAGTGCTTTAGAGGTATCATCGTTGTTGGAGAACAGAGAAGTTGAGCTTCAGGAGAGAGTTGAAACCTTCATGCTAGCTGGGTTGCCCCTGGCAACAGTTTATAGCAGCCTCCAGGAAGGAGTAAGTTCCCAGGAAACAGCAGGGCAGACAGGAGGAAACAAAGATATTTGGGCTCATTGGGAAACATATTCAAAAATATTTTTGAAATAATATGCGTGCCTGAAAATAATAGTGTTAAGTGTTAAAGAAACATTATAAATATGGCTTTGCTTGTATTTTCATTTCATCTTGTCTACTAAGCAAAGGAGACCATTTTAAGAATAGAAGAAGTGGCTCTATTCAGGCCTGCTTCTGATTTGGATAGCTGCTCTGTGCCCCAGCCCTGGAGGGGACGATAGCTTTTCAGGTGGCATTCAGCAACTCATTGCAAAGTTTCCTAGTTCCAGATGGTCTGAAGTTCAGTGTCATTTAAAACTCTAACTTTAGTGGTAAGATATACAAGGCGGAAGGCTGGCTGAATGTTTCCCCAGTGAAACACAGAACAGTCTTCTTGGTAGCACCTGCCTATTGAGAACAGGAGAGTACAGAGCCACGACATTTTCAGTTTCTATAATACCTCTGCCCATATGGCACTTTCTATTTAAGAAAGACATTTACATCTGCCACAGCTCGCTTCACTCTGAGGGGTAGCTGTTACAACTTTCTATTTATAGCAGAGATGGTATAAGTGTTGGCTCTCATTACAACATGGGAGCAGGTCCGTGGAGGTTCCTGGAATGCTCTTCTCAAGCCCACGCTGGTGTACACAGACTCAAGACCCAATCTATGTGTTGTGTACCTTTTAAGAATGCCAGCATGTCCAACCTACAGTTGGCAAAGTAAATCTTGCAAAGTGATGTCGCCTAATGAGTGGATTTCCATCTTACGGGACACACAGACAAAACGTACAACAGAAGCTAAAACTGTGGAGCGGTTTGTTGCCTACAGGAAGGGAAAAGGACAGTGGGACTATTTCCAAAGCAAAGCTCTCTTGGGAGTTGGGGGGGGGGGAGGAATCATGGTGACTCTTATCGTAAGAACCTATTCATATTCCCATAGGAAAGCCTGAGATAAGGGTGCCTTGCTCTGCATCCTTAGGACAGTTGTACATTGTACAGCATCCTCACTTTGAGGTCACAGTTCAAGAAGAAAGATGGAAGGCAGATAACTGAGCATGCTTATCTCAAAGTCTTAGAGTATGTGTTCAGAGCAAGAAGACACCGCTCTTCCGAGTGTTCTGGATTTCACATTACACTGAACAGGGTTTTCTCTAAGTTGCTCAGAAGAATAAAGCAATGTGCTCACTGACCAAGCAGATTTGTTCAAATTTCTTAGATGACATATCCATGCAAGGGTTTCTCCATTTTATTTCCCTCCTTTCTGTCATTGTGAAGAAAAGGAAAAACAATACAAGTCAACTGATGGAATAAACTTTCTTTTGACTTATGACTCCAGGGAGATAAATGTCTATCATGGCATGAAGGCAGGACAACAGGAACAAGACATGGAGAAATCACATCTTTTACAGCAAATACAAAGCAACAAAAGAAATGGGAAATGGTATACAGCTATGTACTCTCAAAGCCCACCCCCAGTGACATACTTCCTCTAAAATGTTCTACCTGCTAAGCCTCTGCAAATAGCATCACCACTGTGGACCAAGGGTTCAATTCCTAAACAACATTTCTCATTAAAACCACTATACCTGAAAGGTACCAGCCTCATTTCGTGGCTAACAATGTCGCCACCATCACTACCAGGAAATAGTACTTTTTACTGTACTCTCTCTATCACTTCGCTTTAAAATTATTTTCAGTAATATTACTGTACTTAGTTTATGCTATGAATAATTTAGGATTTTAATTGCCTATGTTTGTGTCTAAAAGTCTACTGAGATTTAAAGTACATTTCAGCTAGACTATCCAAATGAATGGGCAACCTTCAAGACAATATTTAGGAATGACACATTGTACAGTCTTTCCCCACCTGTTTGAGAAGTGTCTTCATTTTGAAGTGTATTGGTAAATAACATATGATCAGCTCACTAAAATGAGAAAACTCACCAAGTGAGATGCACAACTTTGACAAAAGCTTTGGGGGAAAATTGGTTACTGATGGGCTTAACTTGTGAATAATGCTAGTGTATCACTTTCTTTTTATATGCTATGGCTGCTCAGTGTCCCTTAGTAGCTCTATAAGCACAGCATTCCTGTAATGTAATTTAATTTAGCAAGGAGAAATAGCATTAAAGAAGTCTTTTGGTGATTTTACATTTTTTTAAATTAGCCCACAAGTAGCTGGATCAAAATAGAAAAATGAGGAGGAAAAAAAATCACAACTTGAAATATCTTGGTGTTTCAATAAAAGAATTTTTACTTTAGAAATAATTAATCCTGCTGAATACTGTAGCAAGCAGTGCAGGTGTGTGGGGGAGTGTTAAACAATGTTTCTCTGATTCATTTCATACTTAAATATAGTCACATGGTCACATCAAATATTTAGATTTTATTTATCCAAGTATAGCAAGGGTCAGAATAAAAATGCTTTTCTTATACAAAGAGCTACATTTTGTTGTGTTGAGAATGGGCTCTCTTTCTTTTTACAATGGACTGGCTTAAGATGCTGTGACACAATTCATGCAGTCTCATAAGGTTGTTCCAGAAATTCAGTGGCCAGTGTTGTGTAAACCCAATAGAAGGCACAAACCCAGTAGAAGGCACATTATGGCTCTATGTCTCTTAGAGGTGTCTGTGTCCTGTATTAAACATAGTTATAGCTCAGTAGATTGCCTTCCATCCCATCAATGTTGGATTCATTGTGTTAAATGCATATCTCTATTCATCTCTTTTCTCTCTAGCACAATGCCCAGCAAATGAAGTGCGAACAGCTTCTTCTGGGGTGATTCTCAGTCCCGGGTACCCAGGCAACTATTTTAACTCCCAGACATGTGCTTGGAGTATTAAAGTGGAGCCAAACTTTAACATTACGCTCTTTGTGGACACATTTCAAAGTGAAAAGCAATTTGATGCACTGGAAGTATTTGATGGTAAGACTCTTCTGTGTATGTGTCTTAGCATCCTGAGGATCATAAATGAAAAACACCATCTTAATGTCTCAGTACCAAGATAAGCCAAACTTGTTCCGACAGCAACAGACATCTTCCTAAAACAACAACAGCACAAATGATTCATAATAAGGTCTGTGCTTTCTCAAATATCAGGTGGTCTTCAAACAGCACTATTGCATTGTTCATGGATCTGATTTTCTGTATATTAAATGGATGTGTGTATGTCTCTAATTGTTTACAGCCTGGTGCTGTCTAAATCATGACCAGACTATGATCAAGATCAAAAGCTAGAGAGTAGACCAGAAAATGACAGTAGGAATTTCTGTCAGATTAGCAGTGGCTCATGGCTTGTATCACTCTGTGTTCAAATATAATTTTTTTTATAAAGAGAAAGGTCACTGTTTTATATTGAGAACTTCTGCAAGAGATGGCATTTTCTCTGCACTTAACCACTGTGCCCATCTTATCTTGGCAGCACAGGTGCTATTCTCTATTTCAAGAAGAAGTAAGCTGAGCATACTAGCTGTCTGCATCATTTTCTCAGAGTGTACACTCTCTATATCTCAGATGTGGATTCTCTTAACTTTCTTAAATGCCAGAACTCAGTGAAGAACAGTGCCTGACTTCCAGTCATGATTGGCTGCTGAGATGACATCACTGGCTATTCTGGCAGATGTGCCTGCACCTCTCCTTTCTAGGATATTGTGTTAGATACTAGGTAGAGACATGCTTTCCAGAACATGCCTAAACACTATGATTTGGACAGAGATCAGGTGAAGATTAATAAGGGATTTGATGGAGAATTAGCAACTCTTGAAAATGCACTCTTATGTTCTGTCAGTAAAAATGACATTTCAAGTGTGGCAAGCTTAGGATAATTCATTTCCAAATGGCATATCATTTCAGAGGTTACATGATCTTGTTTAACAGCCATGCCAAGACTTCACACAGCTCATCTTCTGCCAACTTCCACATGAAGTAGGGTCATTTTTTTGTAGGACATAGACAAGACACTTTGCAGACAGCCTTTGGAGACCATCTTTCATAACAAGAAGAATCATTTCTAGAGACCTCCACACAAACCTCCACATTTTTTCCTTGTGGTTTTTCCTCATGTATTCTTGCAATTGCTATAACCAAGTCCCTGCTGATGTGTACACAACAGAGAATATTTTCTCAGACTTGGTGAATGAGAGTCCAGGACCAAACTGTGGGGAATCTGGTCTCTGAGTCTCTTGTTGACATGTAGGTGTGTCTGCTGCTTGTGGTCATCATACGGTTGTTCTCCGTCAGTCTGCATGTTGATCTAAAACACACCATTCACAGTGGAGCCAAGACCCACCCCTGCAAACTCATTTCAAAGTAGCTCTCTCTCTATAGAGCACATGTCCAAAGAGAGTCACTCTCTGAGTTATTGAAAGCAGGAATTCAATGCATGTTTGTGCAGAGTCCAATAGAGCCTTGAACAGCTTTATCCATGGTAAGTTCATAAAAGTGATTTGGGAGTAAGTGGAAGTGAAGCTGTGATCTGTCAGCATTTTCCATGAATGGAATGGGGGGTGCCCCTTCCCTTGCCCTGATAAATTTAGATTATAAATAGCCACAGGAGTCTCATTCTCCCATTTGCTCACACATTTCCCATGAGTGAACGTGTGAAATGCCAAAAAGTGGGTAATGTTTTTAAGATGAGGAGATGCTGTTGCATCCATAAATAGAAAGGGAGTGGAACACAACTCCTCTTTCTAGAAAGTGACTTCTCTCCCAAGGGACATGAAGATGCAGTCACTGGATGCTGTACTGGGCACTTAATAACCTTGCTGTATAAACATTTTGAAAACTTTCAAATCTACAGAATGAAGAAATATGCCAATGATAACTTTTAGATTATTTTCACATTTCCTGGATCCTTGCTTCTTTATAGACACACAGAGATTCATTCATACTGTCTACTGATGCATAGTCTACCCCTAGCCCTAATGGGGACAGTTGTATCCTAAAGAAAGAGAAGTGGGTCATTGTTATGGATGTTTCTGTCATTTCTGCTTCATCCCTGTACTCATTCATCTATCTTCTCAGCATCTATCAATCCATCTCCTCCCTCACCAACCCATCCATCATCTCTCTGCACATACAGTTCTTATATTGTATAGTTCTTATATTGACTGTTTCTGAACTACTATTATACTAATCTACAGCAGGCTCTTTTAGACATACATATGTTACTTTTGAGCTCATCTGTATAAATTTTATTATATGTACATTATTAATTTTAGATACTCTATAAATTTAATTTCTCCTCATGATATTTCCAGCGCTTAAAGGAAGTTTTGGTCCAAAGTTTATTATGAGCAATAATATTGGGATATATTTGCTACATAAATAACTTTTGTACCTGTGTGCTAGAGTTGATGAATTAAAACATCAAATTTACTGTGTATCATCAAGTTGTTCCCCAAAATGATTGGTTTTACTTATACGCCACTGACATTGCAAGAAAGATTCTAGTTTTCCATATCTGTAGTATATTATAAGTGATAATAATGAAAAGATGTTCTCATGTTTAAATGTCATTGTTTCACTGATGTATTTCATTCATTTCCATAATATGTCACCAATAATTTATGTATTTGAGTCTCCTCTCTCCTTCCCCACATTGTTTCATTATCATGGAACGCATTTGTTATTATTTTCATTTGAATATTTTTCTTCGCTTTGGAAAGAAATAGCTATCTATTGTACACGTGTATACACGTTTAATCAACAGCTAAGAATGATCTGCATTTTGTAGGTACCCGCATCTGAAAGTTTTGTTCTTCTGTTTTCTTTAGGTTCTTCTGGACAAAGTCCTCTGTTGGTGGTCTTAAGTGGGAACCACACAGAACAGTCCAATTTCACCAGCAGAAGCAACCATCTATACCTCCGCTGGTCCACAGACCATGCAACCAGCAAGAAAGGATTCAAGATTCGCTATGCAGGTGAGTAGGAGGGCCTGGACATCATCTGCAGTGGCTTTCAGTACCACATTCATCTTAACACTCCGTCTAGGTTATGGTGAAATTCTGACTTCTGACAAAGATCAGCAAGAGAAAGAACATAGTGGGGAATTCCTTAGAGTGAGAGCCCTAAACTAAGGAGAGAACTTGATTAATATGTTATAAATAATTGATTAAAGAGAAAATATTAAAATTTTACACCATGGACAATAAAGACATTTGCCCCAAATTACAGCAATATCACCAAAATTAGCACTAACTTTGGGAACAAATGAGAGTTTGTCAAAAATGGTATAAACAGGAATCACTGTTATCCTTAGCAAGTCGCTCTATTGCATTCTATAAATCTATGTTTACATATGCCTATACTTTACATACTATTCTATATCTTATATAAACCTTTACATCATATGTTTACATTTGGCATACATATAGGTGTAGTTTTATGTGAAAATCTGAGTTATTTTATCCTTTCTCCATATTTAATCATTGTCTGTAAGTTATTTGTCTTAAATTAATTAAACGTTCCAGTACATTAATGAAATGATAAGCCCTATGTACAGTGTTCAATGCTGTCTGACCCAAACCAGTGTTTCTGTTACCCCATGAGAGCAAGGGGGACTTAATTTCTGGGAACAGTTCTGAGCTCCTCCCAGTAAGTGGGGATATCGTGGAGATCTGTCTTCCTTGAATGGTAACATCCAACTCATTAGATGCAGGGTCTTCTAAAAGGCTTTTTCACTCCTCTTGTCAATGTATGTTTTCAGGGTGGAGATCAGCCCCAGGGATCAAAGTGGATGTTAGGGACTGGAAGATTCTATCCTTCACTTGTTGAAAGAGATTAGAAAACCTCATCAACAGCCAGACTTTGGAAATTGTGGTGTTGAGACAGCAATGAGCAGGGGATTCAGACATTCTTCCCCTGAATATGTGATAAAAATGTGTTCAAATCTGTGCCACAGTACCTAAGCAGGGATTGGACACATGGTCTTGTTTTGAAGAATAGATGCTAACCACCTGTCAGATGGGCAACCATGAAATTTTGTTTTCTCATGGAGGTATACCTGGATATGTCATATGTTCACACATATACACACATGCATATAATCTGTGTAATATACCTACATACAGATTTTTTCCTTAAAATTCAGACTCTCTTGTCAGTTAGGAGTTCATCCAGAGGTAGGCTAGTGAGTTCTAGCCCATATTATGTGGTCCACACAACCACATCCCACGCAGCTGCACATTGCATTTGCCTGGCATACATGCTGTGCCTCATCCCAGTGTGAGCCTGGGCTTTGTGCTGTGTGATAGGAGAATGGATCTTTCAGAAAAGGAACTGGGGCTTCCCAATTCTGAACTTTCGTTGAATTGTTGTTTTCATTTATGAGCAGGCAATCATAGGGTTCTGTAATATAGTAAGCAGATCTGTAAAGATAGAATAATTGTATTCCTTTAAGTATATAAATCAGATGTAGGACTTTTCAGCCATCCAAATATTGCCTTCATTATGTGGAAGATTATGACTTTAAAGCCTGTTGGAGCTAGAGAGACTGCTCAGAGATTAAGAGCACTTCCAGCTCTCACAAGGGACACAGGTTTGGTTCCCAGTACGTCCAAGGCCTGTAACTCCAGTTCCTGGTTTCTGATCACTGAGGGTACTTGCCGGCATGTATACCCATAAAAATTGTGTGTATGTGTATTAGTGTGTATACGTGTGCATGTGCATGTGCGTGTGCGTGTGCGTGTGCGTGTGTGTGAAATATTTAGAAAACTAATACTTGAAAGCTTGTAAGCTGGAGAGATGGCTCATCGACTAAGGACACGTGGTGAGCTTTCTTACAGAGGATCCAGGTTTGTTTCCCAGTGTCCACATGGTGCCTTATAACTACTTGCAACTCTAGTTCCAGATCTGACTCCCCTTTACTGGTCCCCAAGTGTACCAAACACACATTTAATGCACAGACATACATGCAGGCAAAACATACATGCACATAAAAAAATAAAATTTAAATAAATAAAAACTGATAGCCATCTCTAAGTTTAAAAAATGTCTCCTAGAAAAAGGGGATACTTGTTACTAATATAGATTTCCCTTTGTAACATAAAGTTCTACATTTTCAATGCTTGAGCAAAGAGTTTACCCTAATCTCATGTATAAAATAAATGTTTTATGTCTGTACCAAAATAATCCATCAGATGACTAAAATTTCTTGTTCTTGATTGAAAAAAAAAACCTCCAATGCTTGTTTGGTTTTTTAATTATTCCTTTTTTAAAATGTAGAGAATATTTAGGTTGCAAAATTGGTACCCTAAGCAAGGCCACATCACTTCTTACCCTTGTCTTTATGAATGATATCCTTAGGGTACCTTGTGGGAAGCCCACTATGAAGAAGATCTGCCACTTCCTGGCTGTGCTATAGTCAGCACTCTGCCTAGTGTTAAAACACATCAGTGGAGCCCTGATTGTTCACAAGGAAACTCTGCGGAGCTCATAGACTCTTACTTGAAAAGCCTGTACTTGCTGCTCGTTTCCCAGCTTTGAAATCCCTTTTGTTTACCACGCCTGTGTCCCAGGTTGGTTTGTAACCTCCTTGTGTCTGTTTCCCTGTCCCAGCTCCTTACTGCAGCCTCACCTCTACACTCAAGAATGGTGGCATTTTAAATAAAACCGCCGGGGCAGTGGGGAGCAAGGTATACTACTTCTGCAAGCCTGGATATCGAATGATTGGCCACAGCAATGCAACGTGCAGGCGGAACCCAGTGGGCATATATCAGTGGGACTCGATGGCACCACTTTGCCAGGGTAAGAGATGGTTTCCACCCAACCCCAGTTGCTGTTCTTTGTTCTGATTTTAATTGTTCTCTAAAAATGAGAAAGATTGTGCATAAGAACTGGTGAGAAACAGAACATTGGTGTAGTTGTTCCTTTGATCATTGATGTGACAGATACCCAACGAAAAGCAGCGTAGGAGAGGAAGGCTTGTTTTGACTCATGGTTCCTGGGTATAATTTATCCCAGCAGGATCCTAGCAGGATGGTTTGGTGGTTCTAGGCTATGATGGTCAAAGGTCAAGGCCCCTTGCTCATATCCCTGAACAAAGATGCTAAAAGAAAAGGAATACTTGTTCTCAGTTATCTTTGCCCTTCCTCCTTTTGTTCAATATGGGCTTTCAAGTCATGAGAATGGGCTACCCAAATTCAGGGTGGGTCTTTCTTCCAAGTCAGTCCTCTTTGTTAATACTCTTGCCCACAAACTCAGAATCTCTACAATCCTTGGGATTGTAAATCCAGTCAAATGGCTAGCGGAGACTTACCATCACAGTAGGTTTAAAATGGTACAGTTCAACTTCTCACTGACAAAGCAAACAATGCTAGCATTTGCAGAAGGCGCTGTGACCCTGCACTGTCTGGATTCAGAAAATGAACAGGCAGTCCCTAAGCTGTGGCTACAGTTACTCTAATTATAATGTGTTCTTCATCTTGAATCTTAGAACAGGCACCACCCCATTAAAATTCAAAATAACTTTACCTGATCATTATGTCAAAAATAACCTATCAAAAATACTCACTTCCTTGGTTTAGATTAAAAACTTTTCCTTTGACTCACAATATTTGTTTTTCATTTTCTTTGGCTGTTTTTTAATCTAGAGTTTATTAATGTTGATTTCAATATTTCATTGTTTTTAAATTTTATGTATCAGATGCATAGAAACTAAATTTTCATGTAAAACATTTTAATGTAGACTTAAGGGTTTGAGGTGGCAACATTTTCATAGTTTTGTCTTACTGAGATTTATATTCACAATAAACTCTCTCAGCCTCTGAAAGTCAGTAGAAAGCTACAAGTGGATCTTAAAATCAGCAGTCATATTTGCCTCCTATATGACCTGTTCAGTTTTCTACAACTGCTGGACAAGAGTGTATTGGACACGGATCATGTTTGTATGTCCTCAATCACATCACTGTTATCAGAACAGTACCTTGGTTTCTGTTTTCACTTTCTGAAGTCTTTGTTAATGTAAGATAAACAGTAAGGTATCTCCCAGTAGCTTATGTTACTCGGAGTGCTAAAAGCTTCCTCCAAAGGCGGCTACTTGGACAAGAAAAAATAACGCTTATTTCCTCTCAGTGTTTTATGACTGTTGGTGTATAAAGTGCCACTGGAGTCACTTGACGAGGCACTTGTCACATTTAAACAAAGCAACACATTTGTGTCCTCACAAGACAAGTATTTGGAATTACATAATTTCCTTTAAGATGCTTCATGGAGTACCAGAATCTTTTGGTCTTTGCTGTTTTCATTGGCTTTGTTTTGGTCCTGGTCTTAGCGAATCCAGTACATTGGCAGGAATGTTACTCAAGTGAGGAATCAGGTGAGACACGAGAAAATCCTGAGACCTTGGTGTCAAGGGAACACCTGATGACCTTACTTTTTTCTGCTCTTTAAAATGGGAGTTTTGATAGTTGGCTGTCCAAATATTGGAAGACTTAAAGATTGAGGGACACTATATCTTCCAATATAATGTGAAGGTAGCTAGTGCCATTGGATCTGGAAGGGGGATTCACCTGGCACTTGCTCCAGGATTATTTGGTACTCTAGGCATCCCAAATGACAGGGCTAGCAGCCAGGCCTCCTCATCCATGATGGCTTGTTCTTAAAAAGTGGCTCACACAATCTCTGTCGTGACAGTCTGGGAAGGACAGGAGCACCAGGCCAGATGTCATCCATGGGTTTCTGAGAAGTGAGGGTTATTTTTCTCTCTTAGCTTGACCTTTTAAATGATTTCTCTCAGCAAAGCTGTCTTGGTTTTTTTATCCTCCCTGATAAAGCCAGGCATATCTCCTGTCCTGCAGCCTTCATTTCCTGCCTCAGAGCTAGAAACTCTGCCAAGCAGCTGTTTCATTATCAATACACTGATCTTCATCTTGAGGAGCAGCCTGTGCAGGAGCTGAGATTTGCTGCGCTATCTCGGAGGCGCAGTTAAGCGGGAGCATCACAGAGCACACTTTCAAGCTGCCCCTGTTAAACAGTACAGTGCCCACACAGCTGTTTATTTGAAAGCTGATGCTCAGAGCCTTGTATGAGCTGGAGCTCTGGTATGGGCTTGCCTCCCTTTGTTTTCGACTTGCACTTTGCTTGCGTTTCCAAGGGCAACAAAGTAGAAGAAAAAAAAACTGCTCTTGTTCGTAAACTACACAATTAAGCTTTTGTTCTCAAAACTCAAGCTTTTAAGACATAAACCATTGTTATCTGTTGTCAGATCTTAGTTTATTCAAAGATAGACAGAGTTGAAGAGCAGAGTGTCTCTGATTGGAGTGATTTCTCTTATCGGGAGATGACAGTTTGACTCTGAGCAGTTGATGACTTCATATCTTTCATAACTAACTTTGAGAATTCTATTAGCTCTAATTTGTTTAAAAATCACATCACACACAAATATACACTGCACCCTGAAATTCCAAGACCCAAAGTCTTTATATCTCAATGAACTTCTATAGAGTTCAAATTATCTCACAGAATCTTAAAGGCTGTGGAGGTAGGCAAAGACATGGGAGGGTAAGAGCTGTGTTTTCTGAGGTTCTACTTATGCTGTTCTTTAACTGTATGAGTATGAGTTCCTATGGATGATGCTATCCAAGGAGACCTCACTGTGAACATCTGAGAATCAGCTAGCTTTATGACCTCGGTATTCCAAACACTGCCTGCTCCCAGAGCTGCCATCTTCCTGAAGGATCGGTATCTTTACCTTTAAAAGTTAATAGCAAAGCATCCTTTATGAAGCTAAAGAATTCAATCTGAAGCCCTGGAGTAACTAAATAATTGATTAATTAATTGGTTTATTTAGTAAGTCATAATGCTTTTTTTTACATATGGGCATAAATCACAGGGGTTAATCATGACCCTTGGCTTCAATTTCATATGCAAATTTACTTCCATAATGCCCTTTTGTCCTGGGAGTAACTCAATGGCTCTAGAGATGGAGATTTATTTAGAAATTAATGGAAGTTTAAATGCAATATTAAAATGATGACTAGGAGTTTTACGTGTGTGTCTCTCTCCCTCTGTCTCTGTCTCTGTCTCTGTCTCTCTCTCTCTCTCTCTCTCTCTCTCTGTGTGTGTTTGTGCACGTGTGTGTGGGTGTGTAAAAATAGATTATAGATAGTATGTGAGCCATGCTCAAAACTGTAGGCATATGCATCAAAACCCTATTTAACCCAGACTTCCAAATTCCAATAAGAAAAATGTGAAGTGAGGTCCATCCATTGACCCTGGATCAGTAAGGAACCAACCTCACGCATGTTGCAGGTCTGAACTAGCGGCTGTTCTAAAAGTTAAGTGTCCTACTCCTATGATTTACTGAGGGAGGCTCTCCCAAGGGTGTGTGTGGGCCTGTAGGGGCTCTTGCTTGAGGTTTGGCCTCGGGATCTATAATTTCAGAGCAGACACTCCATCACCTGGTTTGTTTGAAGTAGCAACCGAAAGTATCGGCCTGAAACCCTTTCAAAGCACAAGGTACAAGAGGTTCCATTGAAAGAGGAACTGTCGTATGATGCCAACACAGACATATTAGTGTCACTAGGCGTTCAGTGAGCACTTGCTGACTTGTCTAAAGTCAGCACACTCAAGTTGCTGAGCTGGTGACAACTTCCTCTTCTGCATGGTAATAGACCGTTATGATCTGACTTCTTTCTGTGAGGAACCAGGCAGTAAACCAGGCCATGCATAGTCTGTCCTGTTGCATTTGTCTTCAGTTTTTTGATCCATTTTTAGTGTGTGAGTTCAGAACACGTCAACTGGAGACTAGTTCTGACTAATGACCTCATGTCTGCCAACATTTGGAGTGATAGGAACAGTCAAGTTCAGGCCATGCTTCAAAGTACAGTTCTATCACTCACCAGTGTGCAAATCCTAGCTCAGGAGTTTTCCCAAGGGAACATCATTTCCCTGGATCTTGTGATAAATTAAATAATATATCTCCCCTGCCCATGCTTAATGCTGACAAGTACAACAAATGTGGCTCATGATTGAGGTAATGGTGAGGGTGTGTGTGCCAAGTCATTTCTCATAAGATAGCTGGATGAAGGGTGTAGGGAAAGAGTTTTAATCACAAGAGGGTTACGAGTTCCCCAGGTTGAAACTGGCTACAAAGACCAGCTGTGACCCTGACATGAAAGAAAATTCTGTGGTGTATCAGCACTGCTTGCCGTGGAAATGTAGGCATGTTCTATAGCATATATAAAATGGAGTTAAGGTGAGAGAAAGGCTCTGGCATTTGTTTTCCATTTCTGCAGCATGGAGAAGGGTGGGAGCAGCGTGGGCAGAACAGAGGGAAGAGTAGCACAGAACATTTGATTGAGCATGCAGGACCTTGATAATGATGACTTTGAATTCAATAAAAGACCAAGAGTGTAAGTGGTCAAAAGTTTGGGTACAACTTAGGCCACTGAATAATTGATGGGCTTTCATTAAAGGGACAGTGTGGCCATTACTTACAAAACTGATGGTTTACAAATTCCAGGCCCTCTAGAAGGTAAAGCTGTCTGAATGGGATGAAGTTCCACAGGTAACTGAGGGAAAAACCCTGTTGGGTATATAGAAATAAATGTGTGGTCCACAGGAAGCTGACTTTGGAAGATTCTTAAAGAATTCAATGTTGAATCGTCAAGACAAGCAGACTGTCCAGTGTTTGCAGAGAACTGGGTGTGATAGAGTCAGGACAAGACAGTGTACTAGACATTGTCTCCATTGGACTGGGCATCAGTCTGAGCATCTGAGGAACAGGATGTGGTCTGTGATGCCAA